GTGAGGCCTGCCTAGGGCTCCACAAGGGCTTTGTCCCCTACTGTCTTCACACCTCCTAAGCAAGTAAGCGAGCAAAGGGCGTCCCACCTCGCAAACCACACTTATGCAATAAGAGCGGCATCTGCTGGTTGTGTGGTGGTGGAGCTTTTAACTCCATCTTCCTGAACAGCAGTCCCAACGTCTGACAGGAAACCATGACTTGTGCTTAAGAAGCATACTATCCGAATCAGCCCCTGTCTTGCCCTCTTTCGTTTAGTCTGTTCCCCGTTTGGCCAGCAGGTGTCGCTGGCCATCTCGTTTGCTGTTAGTTTCTTTTTTTTTCTCCTGTCCCCCCAGCCGTCACATGGCTTCATAGGCTGAGTGGACGACTGTCATCCAGGCTTCTCCTTCCGTTGTGGGTTATCGATATAATTTAACATGTATGTTTCTTTGTATTTTCTTGGTTTATTATGTATTTGTGCATTTCTGTTACAGCTCCTCATCTTTGCTCCCTGTCATTCCCTGTTTGTAGTATTGGTTTGCTACCTTTCTTACTTTAGTCTCTCCTGGTATTTAAGTCTTTGTCAGTTGATTGCCCTCATTTGTGCTCCTGTGTTATTAATGTTCGGTAAGTGCCCACACCTGTCTCTTGTTTATCCTTGTTATGTATGTAGTTATGTGCCCTGTTACGCTTGTCAGCCAGTCGTTGAGTTCAGATGCGTAGCCTTGTTGCTTTGTGGTTTTGCTCCCTGTATTTGCTGTGCTTGTTCCTGTGCTGCTCCCTGCTTAAGTTCTTGTGTTCTACCTGCCTGCCTTTGTTAGACCCCTTGTGGTTCCTTTTATTTTCTGGTTGCCCTTTTGTATCTGATCAATAAAACCCTTTTCCTGTGGAACCTTACCGTGGATCGTCCGTCCTTCAACATGTCCTACCTTAACACATACTAATTCCTAAACTGGGACTTTGTTATTTTGGGTTTCCTCTGCCCACCCCAGGAGGTTGGGCTCCCGCTTTGAGTTTGGTTTCTCGCAAGGTCTCTTCCTACTAAGGACTTTTTCCTTGCCACGGTCATCTCTGGCTTGATCACTGGGGGCATCAGGCAGGGACAGTGTAAAGCACTCTGAGACAATGTTGTGAAAATGTGCTTTATAAAAATAAATTGAATTGAATCATCTTGTTACCTTTGATTTATTTCCACATATAAAGTGGTTAAATTACTATTTTCCCTTATTACTTCTGTTTTTCAAAGACAGAACATGCATTTGGGGAGCACAGAAATCTCAGAAAAAGTTAAGATTAAAATATAATATAGATTTTTTGACAAACGGCATGTCCATCCATCCATCCATCCATTATCCAACCCGCTTATCCTACTGGGTCGCGGGGGTCCGGAGCCTATCCCGGAAGCTATGGGCACGAGGCACAAATGGCATGTATGTGTCTAAATTAAACCATGAGGCTTGTCTACAGGTAGGGAGTCTAGGGTTTTATAAAGCTTCTAAATTCTAAGAATATGCACTTTAGAACTTCTCCGTTTAGAACATTTCGTTGCTAAGCTGGTTTTATGACTAGATCTGCTTTGTTCAGCAGAATAATTCACTGAAGCTTTTCAGCTGAAGCTCCTTACATGTGGGTGCAAGAGCAGAGACCTGCTGAGATTTGAACCCATCATCTTTTTTGTCACTAAAATAGTATCTTCATTCACCAGGTAACAGCCCCCCCCCGGGCTGTGAGGTGACAGTGGCATCATTTATAGGATGCTTCAATCCCGCTAAACGATCGCCGGTGCTGGGTGACTGCACAGCATAGTGGAAGAAGTCCGGTGGGATGCTCTGCTGATCTACAGGTCTTGACCAGGTTTGACCTGCCTAGAGGGGGTGGGGGGAGTAGGGAGGGGGTCCTTCGATAAAGCTGATGATGTTGATGGCAGCTGTGGTTAAAGCTGCGTGAAGATCTGAGCTCCAGGGAAAAGACAATGTCATAAAAAAAAGACTATTTATCATAATCATCATCATCATCATCATTAGGCTCTAAAAATTATTATAAATTTTCTCTTAAAAGATTGTACCATGTAATGTCTTGGTGATGTATGTCTTTTAGCACTGATGTTTGCAGAGCAGATACACGAGAGCCACGTTTCTGCAAACGTTCCAGCCTAGTGAGCTGCATCCTCCATCTTCTTAGTCATTGGTGTCACTGAACCACAGTATGGGGCAGAACCTTCGCCAAAAGCCATAAAACCCGTTTTAAAAGAGCTTCATTTTAGAAGCAATCAAACTTCATTCATTTTATTACCAAAATAGTTTTTTTTAAGTAGCTAATTAATGGCTCAGAGGCAGATTGTCTAAGTTCAACCTTCAAAGATAAAAATAAAGTGTCGGAATTTGCTGGTGGCGTTGTGGCTGGAAATGTCACCCCGGTGATGTTCGTGGCTGCTGCAGCGGGTGATCTGTCACGAGGAAGACACAGAGAGGAAGCGGGATGTCCAGGCGTGGCTGATGGAGTCCAGGAGCCAACCCTGAAGCCTCCTCAGGTCCTTGAGATGGGAGAGCGGACCACGATCTTCGCAGGTTTGCATCCTTAATTCCATCGCCACCCCTTATCAGACCCCAGCTCATTTATTAATTTTCTGGATTTTTCTGCTTGCCGCTGAAGACTCTACGCATTCACTCGTGCAGTATGCTCACTGTGTTCATTGATTCTTCAGGAAATCAGAGTACTGCTGTACTGTTAGAGGGTGATTAATACAGTCATTGAGATCTGTGGAAAGCTGACAGGCAGAGGCAAGAACAGGCCTTGTGGCTGTAATTATATTTGCTTTGATGTTGCATTTCTAAAACAGAATTATAGTTTACTGAGAGCTTTTAAAGCACAGT